TTAGCCCCTCCACACAACAAGACACACTGGACCGAATGCGGTGTCCACGTTATCCCGTCAGTTCGCAATCCTCTAAGCCACGGCTTTTAGCGCACTGTGATAGTTTCAGATTGCTTAAAGTGAGGAAAGAAATTTGCTGTGGGTCGACTTCACTCTCCCCTCCCCCGCCGCAAGCAACAGACCGGCACCTACCTGATCGGTTGCCTGGGGTGGGATGAGTGAAACCCTATATATAGGCTGCATAGCATACACAACTCTGCTTTAGAGAATATGCATAAGTGATAACTCTCAACATCTCACAACTAACGTGCCTCACCAACAGTAATATAACGGACAAAATATAGGGCTATTTTCTATATATCTTCTTATTTGCTAGCTACAATCAGATCCTTAATGCACATTGTACGGCACACATAGACCTACTTGGCGAAATATAAATATTAACAGCGGTCCTGATATGAATTTGGTTGTCCCGAATTCCGGTTTTAACCGTCTCCAGGTAACTGTCTGTGCGTCTGCTTGGCGTGACCAAGGAAACGGCGACAATGGTTACCAGTAGTTTGCAAAAATTAGACATTCCAAAAGTATGAATATCTGCGGTGGAATAAATTTAGATCTATTTGCCATCTATGTTTTTAATTAACCGGCCGCCAGCGGTTGCCGTTCAGAAGGATTCAGTGTTATAATTAAGTCAATTTCCGTAAGAAAATAAATGTTTCAGAAGAAGAAGACGTGACCGCCGGGACAAGAATTTTATTCACCAGGCGTTTCGAACCTCGTCGCGGATTTTTTACCACCGTCTTTCATTGTCTCTGTATCTGATTAAGAACGGATTTCGGAAAGTCAAGCGAATAATAATCTTGGCCCAGCGATGACACTTCTCCCGCCCAAATACTTTCTTGGACTTGCATGTTTGGTTGTTATAGATAACACATGTTTTAAAGCTCACATGAATATTTAGCCATGAACGTACCAATATAGACATAGGTCAAAATACTCATTTTCTTTGTTTGTATAGGAGGAAACGTCATGTCGATCTTTGGTTACGAAAGCTAAATGATTGACCTCTTCACTATTATGCTCAAGTGCGTCAGCGGAGGTAGACGAATTGAGAAACACGGGATATAAATGCGTCTTTATTTTATTTTATCCGGACACGCCCACAAATACTTATATTCAACACACACAAATTAGGGTTTCCCATTCACTTAGTTCAGATAATTCGTTTATGGTTTTTGGGCGTTTGCTATATGTCTATTTTATGACCAGTGTATGTGCCAAAAACGGTAGTCCTCCTTCTAGTACAAATACTTAATGAACTTCCGTCCAAGTTTTTTAATAAAATTTCCTCATTAAGTCTTAAGCTAGGAGACCCTTAAGAGGTTTGAGGTCGATTAAGTAGTTCATCGAAACGACTGTTTGGGGAATTTTCTAAACCATAGATCGGAGAGACAAAACGTATTTCAAAACTATTCGTCTGCATAAGAATATATCATGAGCGAGCATTTCAAAACGGCATCTTTTGCCCATGAATTATTGACAAGCTATCTAGAAATAACGCTTAAACTATCCATGAACCATCCAACCATCCAAGAAAGGCGCGTGAGCCCTGGGCTCCACAAATCAGGATGTTCGGACTGCCATATTTTATGAGCTTCATATATACGAGAAAACAGATTTTATGCTATTTTTCTATCCAGGCCTGTCGCGCCTGACATGGATTGCGGCATTGAGTAAAAGTCGAATCAACAGGGAACGAGATGCACGCACTAGGCTAATTAACAAGAACATTGGTGAGAAATAGTTAACAAAGGAACATTGGGTTTCAGCATGACGTGTTTTTTTCCATGTGTGCGTCAGAGCACTTATGTGTAACGGGTGCTCTGTCACGCGCCTGTCTCTCAAATAAAGAAGGCAGTGCACTTGCGTGCATTGTTTTTAAATCCTTCGACGGCTACCCGCGTATCTGCTAACTTCGGTGTCGTCACTAGCTGTAAGAATGTTGACGATTTGTGCTCCCCGGCAATAATTCTAGCTTATAGGTTGACCTTGAGTCACCTATTTGTCAGTGTTTGCCTAAATGTCGCAATTACTATGGCTTCTTGTGCATACATTCGTACTTATTCCACGCTCTTTTTGACTGTTGGAACGTATTGTTTCATGAGATGTGGCAATGGAAACTCCTTTTACCATAGGGCGTTTTGGTGGTACTGTTTCCAGACTCTACCCTGCGCCTGAAGCCAGGATTATTAAGCTCGATCACTGCGAAAAAGGCTGTTTTGACATAAAGGATTATTACATATTGATGAAAAAGCCGTAGCAGTTAGTTGATAGCCACGTGAGATCGTAGGGTCAGCAAAAGGCTAAGGACGTCAAATTTCCTGATCGAACGACAGATATCTGGACGCAAAAATAATGACGCATGCATAAATTAGCTTAATATTTGTAATAGTAGACAGTGAAATTGCATTTTGACAGACAGCCGACAGTGCTGACCGACTTTCCTGTTCTTAGCTGGTTGCCTCAATTTCATGCCAGTTCGCTAGAAGCGCTTTCCGACTCGCTGCTCTGAAGATCCTTGGCCGTTAATAATAATGTCCGAGGTTCAGAAATATATATATATATATATATGGCTAGGAAGTTTTGACTGTTTTGCTTAATTCGGTTGCCCCAATTGTGAAAATATTGGTGGCCTCGGTGGAAGTCTTTTCCCAATGGGCTAATCTAATGTATATTTATGTACCTACTATATAGACTTTATGGAGTGCGATTATGGTTACTAATGCCCCTAAAACTCGGAAATCTTAAGCATCGTTTGGTTATTTTTAGTTTTCCTACTCTTATTTTGGTTTACTTATTTAATTTAGTAATAGTTTCAGACAGCTTAATTGTGAGTTTTAAAAAACGGAGGGAAACCCTACAATGCATGGTTTTATTTTAATCCTTTATTTTCCACTTATTTGCACGACTTTTTGAATCGAGGTCATAGACCCATCTCAATTTTCTAATATGTTGCCGCGGAACTTAAATAATACACGAAAACCATCTACAAATATGTTTATGCTGAAATGAGTAAATTTTATAAACAAATATCGTATTGATAAAGACACTGGTTACATCAATTAGAAGACGAACCCCGGGGGAATTTGAAGCATTCTGCATATTTGTTCATTTTTCCCGAACTATATTTCGGGTCTTTACACCGGCAACCAAGGCAATCCTTCTTTTTTATTAAAAAATCTTTATTATATTTTCCCAAGTACAAACTGACTTCTGAGCTTAAATGTTCATTACAGCATACTTATATACCTATCTAGGGAAACCTTTAACAATAATTCCTTACGCGTTACGCTTCTAAAGTATGTGCGGGCTAAATATAATTCACGAGGGCGTTCTTGGAAAGCCATTGCTATTGCGGTTTGTGTACTATACTAAGGAAAACAAGAAAAAAGGCGGATGTAGACTTCGTAAATTAGTAATAAATGCAATAACGTGTATTAAAGGGGGCATGCCCATTTCCGCTTTGAAGTAAACGTACATAAACCATTAAACTATAAGGTGGCAGCGTCTTACGGACATACCAAAGTTGGCGGTTTTCATTAATTATTTACACCATCTACCGTATATATATGCGTCACACTTTTACAAAACTGATGTGCGTTTTGCATATATAGTAGCCGACTTCTCCACATAGACACTGAGGTGAAAAGTGGATAAAATGTTGATAATCTACCAGATCAAATTTTATGTGCTTGTTTTATAAAACCGCAGCTTTAGCTAGAATTGATAGAGAACTGTAAACGTCTAGAAGACAGTTGGCTGGTTTACGCAATAAAGCTGCAATCTACCTTCTGCGAACACTTGTAGCACATCAATGCAACTAAGCGAATCTGCGCATCAAACAGAAGCCTAGCACGTTTCGACTTTTCATTGTTTTCTGTAGGGGGTGTCGGCATTATTAAAATATCTGGAAATGTGTTTTCATAACCAAAATAGCGAATAGTCAATGCATATTTGATACCTCTGAAATTCTGCAATAGCAGGAAAAAGTTACTGTTGATTCGTCGTGGACTAGTACGATTATTGGGTTGTTTGTCAGAGCGCTCGTATTGGTAGGCCCACATTGACGAATGTTCTCCAAATACTTCCGGTTGGATCTCCTACAAATGCTTTATTCAGTGGCGTTTAACGCATTTCCTTTACTTTACTTTTAGGTTGTCCACAGAGACTTAAAACCATCCAACATCCTCTATGCTGATCGTTCTGGCTCCCCAGACAGCATTCGCATTTGCGACTTCGGATTTGCCAAGCAGCTCAGGGCTGGCAACGGCCTACTCATGACTCCCTGCTATACTGCACAATTCGCAGCTCCTGAGGTTGGTTAGCATTTTTTGTTTGTCTGAGGGTGCATGCGAATTATTCGGGAGCTGCAAATGACGTAGGTTGTCAAAAGTGACTGGGATAGGCGGGAGAAAATAAAGAAAATACAGTTTTTCTCTCTACTTCTACCCAACCTTCCTTCGATTGAGAGTATCTCGGAGCTCATACCGTAGGTCTGTGCTTAAGGTTTCAGTGCAAATTTTTAGAAGGTTCATAACGGCCGGGGAAAATGAATTATTATAGAGCAAACAGAAAAAATATTCTTGCTGGTAGTCAAAGGTAGCTCCTTCAAAGCCGATATCCTCAGGTGATGGAAGTATATTCAGATTAAGTAGCGTGCTAATCAACATTACAGCCATACTAAATATTTTCAAATCGACAACTTATTGAAGAAGTTCGGCTGAAATAGACCATATACTCTTTAAACGCATGTTTTCATGTTTCAGGCCCAACAAACAACTGCATACTATTTGATAACTTATTAACGTTGGCGTAATGTGCACGTGGCCCTTTGCTTGTCAATTTTTTTACTTCCTCAGTAAAGCTGTTTATGTACTTTTTCTCAAGTGAGTTCAGTTTCTGTATGCTATCGGGAGTCTCATCCGAAATCTGCGACCCAAGATAATTAGTTCGAGAAAATGTATTTGCTTTGAGATGTTCGGCTTAGAAGGACTCACGGAAACTGTATTTTTTCGCCAACAGTTTTACATTTTGAGAATATGAGCCAGTAATATAGAGATATATTGTCGATTTAACGTCATAAGTATATAAACATAAGGTGACCAAACCCTTAACCAAGTTTCAAATTAACCCCTGCTTGACTTCGAGGATTCGTTTAAGGCGTATTGAAGTTTTCTTAACGAATTATCTTAGGTTCTGTTTGTAATCTTGATATCCTTTAACCTTTAGGTGTTAAAAATGCAAGGCTACCACGTCGCCTGTGATATCTGGAGCCTAGGTGTACTGCTGTACACCATGCTTGTTGGTCAGACCCCGTTCGCAACAGGTCCTTTCGATCCACCGGAGGTCATCCTTCAGCGCGCAGAATGTCCACTTAATCTCACTGGTCAAGCCTGGGACTCCGTATCCGAGCCTGCTAAGGTATGCAAAAATAAGTTGCCCATTGTTAGAGACACAACTCCTTGTCTTCAGTTGATTCAGCTATTCCGTAATAGATGATTCTAGCGTTTTTTAGAATGTTTGCCTGCTTTCGTCTGATACTGAAGTTAAGTAAATAACAATACCTGCGTGCCAGTATCTGCATATGATAGTAGAGGAATCAGCAATCTGGCACAGGTACATGAATACCCATGTGTGCGTTGGGTTACACTATAGGAACGTTCTTGTTCCTTAACCAGGTCGGTGGACTCCATACTATTAATACTTCCCAGTTAAAAGCCTCAATTCTTCGAGTTCTCGGTGCAACATTAGGATGCTGTACTCAATGGCGAATAACCCGAGTTAGAATCAATGGTGATCCACATCTATGCCGGAAATGGCGAGCGATGGACAGAGAACTTGTGTGAAATGAGTGGTCACAGAATTACGATAAGTTTTGGAATGAAACAGTGTTGGCAGTTTGGGCTACCTTCGGTTGAGGGATTAAAATATCTGAAGACTGATTACAGCAAAGGCATTGTGACTGCTGAAAAATTTGGCGTAAATGGCATCGTCGACAAAATCGAATCCTTCGGCAAAGTTAATCAAACGTTCAATAACAAGGAAGCATCCACATCAGGTAATGCGGATCCAATAAACACACAGGATCTTGTTGCAAAGACGAAGGTGAAAAAACATTGGCGAATGAAATAAGTCAGTCCTGACGACTTCAGATTTATAATCTTCGAAGACCCTCGTATCACACATACGTACGGCCTTTCAACGGAGCACAATGCAGATACGTCACTGAGGACCATAGTCTGACACATTGGAGCCTACACTCTAAATTTTGCCACTGACTGTATCAAAATCAATACCACCCAGATTTCCCTACAGAAAGTCAAAGGTCGTCATGTCCTGAAGCTTTTACTCCCAAGCTTACATTGCAAGGAATTTCCACAAACATCTGTCGACAATAAGGAGTTTTGGCACTTTAACTATCCACAACTCCACATCCTCTGTACGTGCAACTCTACACAGGCTAAAGGCCCCTACCTCTACAGAGCATGCAATCAACGTTCTTTACGGCATACTATGCGCCAAGGGTCCTTGTGTTTACGTTGGCCATACAGGCCAAAGTCCTGGTACCTGCATCAGCGAACATGAGTAAGCCGTTCGCGAACGGTAACTCTCCTTACTAGTATTCGCACTCCCTTGAGTGTGAACGTTACCTTAATAGGGACGGTATCGAAGTGACCGCTATAG